TTGGAAACTTGCACAGTCAAATGTTCCGAGTGGGAAGTCTCAGCGAAAATTTAAAATTAGTGAATTTTAACTAGTCAATCAACACTCAGTTTCTCCAGATAACTGAGGAGAATTTGTTGCATTTGTTGTGACATCTGCAAATGGTTAGATGTTGTAGTCTTCTCGGATAAGGATGATAAAACTTCTCCTGAGTCTTCTCTGTAATGGTTAGCAAGGACCTACACATTTTTTGCCATGATGGGGAACATAACTCCCGGTGTTGCATTGTGGTCTGACTTTGTTATTGATTATGCAGGCCCCCATTTAAACCAGCTTTGATAAATATCCATGCAATTCGTTGACGGTTATCTTTGGCAATCTTTTTTCTTTCATCCAGTGAAAATGATATGGTAACCGAAGATGAGCAGTTTGACGAAAGAGCATTCGACAATGACGATGATGGAGACGACGTTAGTGACGAAGATGACGTAAGCGCAGTAGAAAAGTCAGCTGACCCCTTTCGCTTTGGACGCTTTACACGCAGAGTAAGGCGTAGAGTCAGACGTCTTATTCGTCGTCCTCGTCCAATTCGTCGTGTTCGTCGTATAATTCGTCGTGTTCGTCGTCCACTTCGTCGTGTATTTCGTCGTCGTTTTCGCGGTTAACGAAGACCATTTAAGTGAAGGTGAGGGGAAATAAGAAATAGGACGTGCAGCTGGCTTTGTCTCTTTTAGTGATGTTAGCAAGAGCAAAGCAACGGAGAATATACGCACATACCCAAATTCTTACGCCAAGATCCCATGATCTAGAAAATGCATCACATTTACAAGTTGATCTGCGAAAAGCGTCAGTTATTTTTATTAATCGGCTAAGTTGCGATCCTGAAATTACTTAATACTTACTTTTTTCTTGTTTAGATTAACGAAAATGTTTTTTTTGCAAATACGTAAAATATGATTGAAAATGAATTTACCTGGTAATCCTTCGTTTTTATCATTCTTCGTTTCTTCATCATTCCTTCCTGAAGTAAAATTGTAAAGGTCTTCAAAATGAAGAGACCCTTTGCATCTTTGTTGTACAGCTATTCGAAGACAAAATATGTGATAAAACAGTGTATTACTTAAGCGGATAAGTAACAAACTGGCAAAGGCAGGAAAATTTCACAGGACAACATCATGGTGTTCTTCCTTGCAGTCACGCTTTGCGTGACTAAATTAAATGACAGCTATGTAGGAGATTAAAGGAATTGTAACTCTTAACCACAAAAGAAAAACAATATCTTAAAGGCTTTGAGCATTCGTCGCACAGACACCGGTTAAGCTGCACTAAAATGAGTTTGAGGCCACACGTGAATCTTTTGACCACCTCGAAGAGTGACTAGAATCTAAACTCTCCTTACAATATCACCCCTGAGTCAGTTATAAAGGTCACGAGAATAAAGAGAATTATCACCGACTAAAGAAGCTCTTGATTGTTAAACAAACTGTCCTCGTCAGCACCTTAGGAAATGCGTAATGGACAGCATGGAGAGTATAAATATTGATGTTGGGTGTTAAGGGTTAACGAGTGACCATTATTACAACTGTTGTTTGATTATTCTCTTCCTCCACAGGCCTTGATGAATGCTAACCGTCAAAATGCATGAATGGAGAACTTGGGACAGCGATAAAACAGCTCTTTACGCTAAAGAATATTGTGATACTTCTAGAATGCAAAAGTCCAGCTGCTGTCAAAATATAATTGAAGGGAAATAATAGCCGACGAAAAAATTGTGATTTGCTTTAAGCTCGCGTGGATTTGATAAAAATAAACCAAGTTCACAAATACCTGGCTCTGTTGTTGTTTTTCTTTGATTTGTTCACTTCAATTTTTTTTTGTTTGTTTGTTTCAGTCGAGGTAACTTCTTTTTAGTCAGTTTCTCTTTTTGATTTAGTTTTTTTGGTTCTCTCTATTCGAGAGTTTTTTCCCATGCTGGAATTTCACTAGAATGAAATAAGGTTGCTCGAGATAATTAACAAACAGAGAAGCCTTGGCTGTGCTCTGTTCTGTTGTAAAGCGCGGAGGAAACGCCGGCTTAAGTACAAAAGAAGTGTAGGGAGGAACACGAGATGTGGTGAAGTGTTTCTCCCTAGTTCTTGAGTGCTCTAGCCGCTTCCTAAGCCCTAAGGCGAGTGTTTCAATTTATAAGCTTTCTGAGAGTTTCCGAGAGTGTTATCCCAGCATTTTAAATGGCCTTATCACGCTGTAGAGCCCGGAAAAATAAATGATATTGCTTTTAGGACAAAAGTAACACAGGAACATGAAGATTGCTCGGGATGCCGTAAAACTGGGCTGTAGGCGCTCGACATACTAAATCCACGACTCCCTTGCTTCGCCAAATTCACTTATTTTCACACAGGGTGCCATTCCGATGCGAAATTACCGGTTTATACTCGTCACTCAGCAAAACCCCACTGTAAAAATCCCTTATATACATATATATATACCAGTCACGATGGAGGAATGCAGTCACGCAGAGTCACGCACCTACAAAAGCTGATAGCACAGGTTTCTGAATCAACTGGACCAAAGTTTTAGTTATATTAGTTAAAATAGAAAGAATGAGAAAGGTTGTCGTCATTGATATTGTGAACACAAAAACAGCGAAAAAAAAAGTCTAATATTTCCTCATGACTGGGTTGATCAGTTGGTAATTACTCTCCTGGTTTATTAATTTTGGGACAGAAACCAAGAATTGGTGAAGAAAACACCTGGTTTGGTCCCCCAAAAGCTATGAATCGTGGTAAATATATCTAAATTGTAATATATCAGAAACTTCTATATTTCTCAAACAATATCCGGATATTAGTGAAAAGTCTATGTCCAATAAAAATTGTTGCTGCCTCTTTGACGTGTGAATAGTTAATGGTTGGACATTATCATGAAACTCACGTCTATTGCATTTAAGAGCGTGTCACTGTAATTTCTGACCACTGGAAATTGGTTCAAAAATACATCTTGCCTTAAGCTTGGCATGTGAATAAGGAAACCATTGCCTATCATCGGAACAAAAGTGGTTTCCTTCAGATTTCAAAAGGTTTTTTTAATTTTGAACGATTTTCCGCAAGCAGGTCGAATCGTGAAATTGACATCAGTTAAGTACACAATATGAGCAATCTTTATTAGGATCTCACGCTGTCAAAAATGATTCAATACGAGAGATGTTCTGGAATAGATATTCTGCAAAGTTTAAGGCAAAATTTATTTTTGAACCAATTTCGAGTGGTCGGAAATTACAGAGACAAACTCTTAACAACAACAACAACAGCAGAACCAATACTGATTACAACAATACTTTAATGTGGACATTAAAACAGTAAAGATGAGGTCCAATATCTCCTCATTTTTGGGTTAATCAATTGCTAATTATTCCCAAAGTCTTGGCATATTGGCATAAAATGACGTTCAGTTCATTTTTAAAACGGTTTGTACTGGATAATCTCTTCATTTTGTACATAGAGGACTCCAAAAGCTTAATGGTTTGTAGCAAGCAGGTTTACTGTTGAGTTCCGTTTCATAATGGGGTTGCTTAAATGTCAGATTCCTACTCAGTAAATTGTACTTGCAAACATATTTCTTAAAGGAGCAATTTTTAAACCTTTCCATGGCTTTCCTTCAAATTTTGAATTCATTTCTGTTATCACCATTTTGCAGAAAGCACCTCTTACTCCAATGCTACTTCATTAAAACCAGTTTATTAACACACACTGTGCATATTTCAATGGCCCAAGAGAATGTAAGAAAAAAAAAATATATATATATATATACTAAAGCCGGAATACTCTTTTTATCCTTAAAAAGGTACAAATTTCAATAGACCATCTTAATGGTTGGTCCTTCGTGTTAAAAGTGTTATAAGATAAACCACATATTTTGAGAATATTTACAAATGATTCAATATATTTTGTTTGGGCTTTAAGTTTATTTCATTTTGTAGGTAGCAAGACTTTCATATTCTTCAATTTCTTTTCCTTAAAAAAAAAATCCATCAACACATACCTTGCCCATATCAGTGGCTCAAAAAAAGGCACGACTGATATCAAGATGGGCGATATTTTCTGGCGGTGAGACAAACATTTACCCACTCGCTGAGGAAGAACTACGCTTTAGAAGCCATATAAGAACTTACGTTTCCCGCAGTAAAAAAAAGGGGCTGGTTAGATTTCTCTCTGGAATCTTAAAACGCGGCAAGTAGAATATCTATACATCTATATTCCCTAATTGCGCTGGAAGATAACCTGAATTAGATGGTTTTGGAACAAAAATGATCTTAAGAAAAGAAAACATTCATTTTGAAATTTTCGTTTTTATACGTCAAACTATGTAGCTCTGATTACTAAGTTGAAATGGTTTTAAATCTTATTTTCTTTATTCACTCATTCGCCTTTGGTACCTGTTTTCTGTTTCCAGCAAGAGTCAGCGGCCCATTATTGAGCAAATTTGTTTTGCCAACGCGGGTTATACTGTAACGACATCAAACTTACATTTGGAGAATAGAACGCAGATCACTTTGAAATAGGAAATACGTATGGTTTTCCAGAGTATCCAAAGCTTGTTTGTATTCAGATCCCCATATCAGCCGATATCTGATCGTGGAGGGTAGATCACCGGAAATCTAAAAAAAAAAGGTTATTAAAAAATATACACAGTATATGTCAATGGGTACTCCTAACTGATTGTTCGTCGCGTAATTATCAAATCAGATAAACCAAATTGTTTAAAATATATTTACTCGTTTAAATTCTTAACTATTTTCAACTCATCAACCTAAGAATAAGGAGAAATTGGACTTGATTTTTTATGTAAGTTCTAATTTCCACCATAGAGTATTGCTGTAGTGAGTATCAATTGGTTTTCTTGTTGTTAAACGCACTAGACGAAAGTTTATCACGAACTGATTAACCCAGTTGTGAGGATATTTGACTTTTTTTGTTGCTGTTCTCGTGTCCACAAAATTAATGACGACAATCTTCCTCATTCTTTCTATTTTAACTATTACTGCTAACACTTTAATTCGTCCAGTTCATTCAAAACCGGTTTATTTTTAAAACAACCCGTGCTATTTTAAATCTTTTGTAGGTGCTTCACTTTGCGTGACTTCATTCCTCCATCGCGACCTGTATACGAGGTTTTCACATTTAAGTGACCAGGATAAACTGTAACTTCGCATAAGTGAATTCGACCAAACAGAAGAGTCGTGGATTCAGTATGTCGAGCGCCTGCAGCCTACTTTTATGTCATCCTGAGCAATCTTCAGGTTCCCGTGTTCCTCATGTCATAAAGGCAATATCATTTATTTTTCCGAGCTCTATAGCGTGATAAAGCCATTTGGGATATTGGGATAATACTCGCAGAAACACTCAAAAAGCTTTTAAAACACTCACCTTCGGCTTAGGAAGCGGCTAGAACAGTCAAGAAGTAGAGAGAAACACTCGACTACATCTCGTGTTCCTCCCTACACTTCTGTCGTGTTGTAGCTGCTTCCTCGTGCTTTATAACAGAACAGAGCATAGTCAAGGCTTCTTTATTTTTTAATTATCCAGAGAAACCTTATTTCATTCTAGTGTAATCACAGAATAGATAAAAAAAAAACTCTCGAATAGAGAGAATCAGAAAAACTAAATTGTAAAGAGAAACAGACTAAAAAAACGAAATTACCTCAACTACAACCAAAAGAGAAAAAAAACTTGAAGTGAACAAAGTCACAAGAGAAACAACAACAACAGAACCAGGTATTTGTGAACTTGGTTTATTTTTATCAGTTCGACATGAACTTGTAGCAAATCAAAACATTTTCGTTAGCTATTTTTGCATTACTTCCGTCACATTATATTTTATCAGTAGCCCGACTTTTGCGCCCTAGAAGTATCGCAATATTCCACAGCGTAAAGAGCTGTTTTATCGCTGTCGAAAGTTCTCCATTCATACATTTTCAAGGTTGGCATTCATCAAGACCTGTCAACTTGAAGGAAAAGAAAAATCAAAGATAAGTCCTTAGGAGGGTCACTCTTAACCCTTAAAACCCTAACATTAGTATTTATATTCTCCATACTGCCCTCTATACATTTCCAAAGATGCTGACATGGAGAATTTCTCTAAAATCAAGAGCTTCTTTTGCTTTATCCTCATAGCCTTTATGACTGATTGAGGGGTGATATTGTAAGGGGAGTTTAGATGCTAGTCTCTCTTCGAAGTGGTCAAAGATCAGTTCACGTTTGGCCTCATGGCTCATTTTAGTGCAGCTTAACCGGTGTCTACACGACGAATGCTCAAAGCTTTTTCGATACTTTTTTTCTTTTGTGGTTAGGAGTTACAATTCCCTTAGTATCCTACAAAGCTGTTCTTTAATTTAGTCAAGCACAGCGCGACTGCAAAGAAGACCTCCATGATGTTCTCCAATTAAATTTTCCGCTTAAGTAATACGCAGTTTTATATATTTTATTTTCGAATAGTTGAACAACAAATATGTAAAGCTTCTCTTCTTTTTGAAGACCTTTATATTTTTACTTCAGGAAGGAATGATAATGAAACGAAGAATGAGAAAAACGAGGGATCACCAGGTACATTCATTTACAATTATATTTTACTTTTTTTCAAAAGAACATTTCTATTAATCCAAACAAGGAGATTCAGTATTAAGAAATTACAGTAAGGCAAATGAGCTGATTAATAACATTAACAGACGCTTTTTGCATCGACTTGTACATGTGATGCATTTTCTATATCATGGGATCATGGCATAAGAACTTGGGTGCCTGCATATGTTGTCGCTTTGCCCTTGCTAGTAACAC